TCATCAACAATTATGGCTAGCTGTTCATACAATATTCCAGAAATCAACTAGGAACCAATCGTGATTAGCAGCGATGATGAGATTCCTGTGGTTAATCTAACATGTACAGTCTTATTTCTTTGGATGATGATCTATGAAGCATTCATTTGACCATTGTTCACAGTGATTCCGATGATAATTATTTTTCAAATCTACCGTGTTACTGAAAATGAAGTACTAAATAATCCCATGTATGAAGAAGCTGACTACAACCAATTCCTCACGCGGCGAATCCCGATACCTTATACGATGATAATGTATTTGAGGAAGGAAACGAGCAAGATAACCATGCTGAGGTAATAGCTAAAGACATTCTGGAAATCACTTTCATTGAGCAATTTTTAGTTATCCTCAACAGGCTAATAAAGCTAGGCTGCTATGGTTGTGAATTTGACAGGCCTAATCAAATTGATCTTTTTACATTTTTTTGTTTTAATTGATCATGATATCGTTATTTGTGTTATTAAAATCTATAAAAAAAAAAAATAATTATTGTTTGCAAGTTAATTATATTGCATGTTGTTTCCGTAAACATTTCATTAAAGCGAGTGAGAGAAATGAGTATGGATGAGAAATTGAGAAAAGTGTATTACGATCCTAAACATCCTGGCAGTTTCAAGAGTGCAGAACTATACTTTATCAGAACGTGAAAAACGAATTAAATATTACTCAATTAAAGACTGGTTGAGCAGACAAGATACATACACATTACATAAACCTCTTCAACACCGCTTCCTGAGAAACAGAGTATTCGTCACAGCTATAGACAAACAGTGGAAATTGGAAGATTAAATTGGCAGACTAGAAGTATCATGGATAGTATTCTACTTAATTTCGGTAAAAAGTTTTTAACATCAGTCAAATATCGAAAAATGCTCCCTCCTATTCGTAATACATCTAGAGTTCTCAGAAACAGCTCCACAAATAGTAGACCTTTGCCCAAAACAGAACGTTTCCGAAAATCACCCATCCCTACATTAGTGCAATTAATTAACAATGAATTAGATGCGTAGGCTGGAATTAATCCTTCGACTGTTGAATTGTGATTTCCTTTTCTTTTATCTGTTAAGATGCTTTATTCTTTTATTTCTATAACAATGATGATAATACTGTAGTAGTAATGGTGGTATGATTGTAAGAGTGATAATGATGGTAATTATTGTTGTTATTAGTATTATTGTTGTTATTATTATTATTATTATATATACATTTATATATTTTTGCTGATGGTATTTTTAATCTCTTGCTTATCTTGTTTGTTTCATCTTTTTGATGTTTGTAAGCTCAAGGTTTTCAGCTGCCTGGCTGCTTGTTGTGCAATGTTATACCGTAATAAATAAATAAATTCAAAATTCTGACAAGATTGTAAGTAAGCAAAGATTTACAGAGAATTATCAGTCATTAAAAATTCTGACAAGATTGTAAGCAAAGATTTACAGAGAAGTATCACAGTCATTCAAAATTCCTACAAGACTGTAAGCAAAGATTTTCAAAGAAGTATCAGTCATTCAAAATTCTGACAACTGTAAGCAAAAGATTACAGAGAAATATCACAGTCATTTTAAAATTCAGACAAGATTGTAAGCAAAGATTAACAAAAATGTATGTGTCATTCAAAATTCTGACAACTGTAAGCAAAAGTTTCACAGAAGTGTCACAGTCATTCAAAATTCAGACAAGATTGTAAGCAAAGATTTACAGAGAAGTATCATGGTGATTCAGTGTTTAGAAAAAATGTAGCGAAGAAAAACATGAAGCGTCGTAAAATAAGAAAAGCTTTTAGGGGGTTTGTGAGAAAAGCGACAAAGTAGCATTTTGAGGGTCTTACATAATAGATTTCTCAAACACATAATTCATGAATATTTCATTTAAATTTTCATTAATTTGGCTGTATTTGGGAAGTGAAAAAGTAACGTTATTATGTCCTGTACATCTGCAGGCCTATAGATAACATTCTTCATATTATATAGATCAATCACCAGAGACGATCAATTTCTAACAAATTTCATACCACATTATTAAAAATCAACGGTTAGATAAGCTGGCAAATATTCAATGCAATGCATGCTATAGCATTTTGTGATAATTAGGAACGATTTTGTGAAATCATAGGTTTCAAAAAGTGGACCTTTTGGAATTTTGGGGGGGGGGTGCATCCGCACCCTCTGCACCCCCCTGCCCATGGGCCTGGATAATTTGGATATGTACTTAGAATGATAAATTGATGCTTTAAATGTAATATCTATACATATGTCATACATTATAAAGAAATTTGCCTTCAATTTGGGTCTGATACACAGTATTGAAATAAAAAACTATTATATTATCATCATAATTATCGTTATCATTATCACACCATAATTATTAAAATAAAATTATAAATATTCAACATATAGTTTTGTTATTGAGTATTAATTTAATAAGCCAAACCAAAAAAAATACATAAATAAGTAATACAGTTTAAGTTGTTACATTATAGATTTTGTTAGAACTACAAATTATTATTGGACCAGGCTTGAGAAAAAGACATGATATTAATATCATTTATGTATATAAGGCCTCATTACAAGTAAAATAGGGTAATTTCAGCACCGAGTCCACTAATCGGATCGTGGTATATTCTGAAGGCAATTCATATTACATCATCATTGACTTTAAATTAGGAGCGCGATATACTAAAATGCAACTTGTACCGAAAATACAACAGAAAATTTAGAAATTAGAAAATAGTAATGTGTTATTAAAACTATTATATAACACTGTCTTAATGTTTTGTTAGTGTACAAAGTAAGTCCAGGTAAGCCGTAATAACCTAACAACTTGAATGATACTGATAGCCCCTATATTATTTATTGAGAAAATTGAATCCATATGTTCTAAACAGCTCGCTACGCTTCCCTGCACCAGAATGACCCATTTTCGTTACTGCCTTTCAATCGGCTTCAACCACGGCAGACCGCTGAGTTACCATTAATTGCAAAGTTTTTCAGCATTCATGTACACTGCTTACGTTTCATTCTAAATCTATCGAGCGAGTCCTCGCTGAATATTGGCCTAGAATTTTCATCGCGTGTCAAACGCAGTTAATGGTAAAGGGTTTCAGAGCACTACTGTATCATGTTGCTAAATATAATGAGTAACTGATTGGTATTATGCTGTCTTTTTTTTTCGTTATAGATCAAACAATTCAATGAAAAATAACCAAGCACTTTTAACGTGTAAATCATGGAAAAAGAATTTCTTGTAAAGTTTAATGGAAGTCAGAAAATTATAACTGTCAAACCAACCAATAACCTAGCACTTATACTATAAATAAATCAGGCAGACATCATGTGCAAAATACTACTACAAGGAATGGGACGATTGGATAGATGTTTCCGAGAACTGTTTTAATACATAACATTAAAACCCAGTTCTGATCAATTTTTGGCTACCCCTTCCCTGTCACAAAGTACTGAAGAAAGTGCATTTGATTCAGATACTACAGAAATATTGGAATCAGATTTATCCACTGACTCAGAAGACATGCTTTTTGATGTACCAACTGGTTATCTGAAAGGAAAATGGCCAAATAAATTTCCAATTGATGAGAAGAAGTTCTCTCAAAGTTTGAAAGTCTCAAAAATAAAGTATGTCTTATGTGGAACCAAAAAAGAGAGTTACTAGATGTCATCGCTAAAGAAATACAAAAATACACAGATAGCCCTAGTAAGATACAACTGCACCAAATTGCTATTGAGCTCATTTTAAAATATCTACATTTAAGAGAAACATATGTACAGTATCTGGTACTGGCAAGAAAAAGGAACGCAACAAGAACGCAAAAATATGGTTGCTGGCCACACACAGATGGAGATGGATAACATGCATGGCAGTATCGAAAGGAATATTGCCGGTGATATCTTCACTCCAAGGGACTACGTCGTAGTAATGGAAACTGCAACAATTAGGCCTAAACCTTATGATGTTAAGCAGATTAAGCATGACAGCTTTAAGAAACATGATGGGAGCTACTTAAATAGTATTAGGCCAGGTAAGAAAGCTGGGGACCCCACAGTTCATGATTTAAGGGAATTGCAGTGTACCAGTGATGGCAAAATTTATTTTAAACTGAGTTTGACATTTGATACTGAGTGGCAAATCCTCTCACAGAGGATCCGTATCCCTAACGAGCCCTTTGGATGGGTTCGCTTATTTGATGCCCCCCAGCCAATCACTCACCGCAAGTTCAATGACTTTCAATCAATAAAAGCATGTCTTCCCCCAGTGCATGCATAATTATTTTGACAATATACCACTTTTTGAAGCTTAAAAGGTGTTTACTAAGCACTCGTAATGAAGCTTCCTTTAATCATTAATTTTTGCCTAAGTCAAGTATAAATGCCTAAGTAATGTATCATAATGCCAAAGTCACACACAGACTAGCATTTTTGCCTAAGTCAGTTGTAGTCGTTACGCAATCATACTCATGAGTCAAAATTTTTGCATTTCATTTTTCTTTATATGGCATGGTTATGTATGAAAAATATTGAATATTCATTGTTGAAGAAATGATTTAGTTTTTGTATTTTTCTCAAAAAGTTGAACGATATTTTAATTTTTTTTTTTATCAAAATTTTACTTTTAGCCTCATTGTATAGCTTAACATACCAAGAATCTTATTCTAAAGTTTTGGATCAAAATAATACTTACTTTTAATATAATTAGCAATTTTACGATTAATAATTCAAAATTGGACGTCATTTTATTACCTTAGCAACTGCCTTAGCAACACATTTCAGCATTAATAACTTTTATATTAATTATCAAAAATAATTTTTTTTTACTAATTATTTTGTCTTAACACTGTTTGTGAAAGAACATAAAGCAGCTTTTGACCTACCTAACCACTCATGCATGCAGCACATGCATTCAAACAAGCTTGACTTGATATCCATTGTTTTCAAAATCAACTAACAGCTGTCTAGAATATTTTCAAATAGTAAGTTCAATTTGTGATTATACATCATTTGTTTTTCAAAATTTAACATCTTTATATCAAGTACCTGAAGATTATCAACTGTATATTTAACATTTTTATCATGAGAAATAAGAAGAATATTCCACGACGTAAGAAGAGAAAGTTTTGTGGCAACAGACAACTGTGACTAAGCCTCAGCCAGCCAGACAGCCCGATCAGCAACAACCTAGGCCTGGCCCATCAAAATCTTGTGCATTCGCAAGGAAAATAAAAAAAAGTGTTGAAGGTATGGCAGATGAATATAATATATCATCTCCAGAACATTTAAGAGGATTCTTGTTCATAGCAATATAAATCCTAACAGCTCTTATCAATCAGAATTTGTGTCCGGAATGTTCATTGCAAGGATTCGCAATGACGTCAAGCGGGGACTTACCCAACAATTTGATGTGCATGGTAAGTCATGTTCTTACATGTACACATTCTATAGCAGGTGTATTTGAAGGTGTAATATTCTGGTAATAGTGTAAATTATTACTCTGGTTATACACATTCTGCTAGTTTTAGACCCGAATTAACTGTATACAGCGATGTGGAAAAGAATCCCGGACCACAGCGCGGTAAGACAAAAGAAAGGAATGCGGAAAATGCTGACACCAGGTGTGCTGAAACACGTTTCTATTATCAGAACTGTCGCAGCCTTAAAAATAAACTGAGATGTGTATAAGAGCACAGAACTGGTTAGTCATTTAATTGCAAATCGTTACCAATTCGTTGCATTCACAGAAACATGGCTTAATTCTAATGTTTTAGACGCTGAACTTGAAATAGAGAATTACACACTATACAGGAAGGAACGAATAGGCAAAAGAGGTGGTGGTATCGCGTTGCTTGCCTCAAACAGGTATGTAACTCGCAGACTTACTGATTTGGAAAATAAAAATATCGAACTAATGTGGGTGGAAGTAAATTTCTCTAATACGAAAAGACTCTTGATTGGTACGTATTATAGACCTCCTATTCAAGGCATGGAATCCATCGAAGTACTTTCTGCGCTGCTGGACGAAGCGATGTCAAGATATCCAAGCCACAGGTTTATTCTTCTGGGTGATTTTAACCTACCGACAATCAATTGGTCTCAAAAACCACCAATTATGAAAAGATGCTAATACCTTGGCAATTGAGTTATCTAATTCATTATTTTAAAACAAAATAAATTGTTCTCATTCAGGATTTTTGATAAAGACAAGGATGAAGTCTTCTCCATTTTTTTTTTTTCGATTGTTGGTTTTCTTTTTGATTGTTGGTTTATACAAATTTAGTATGAACATGTGTATATGTGTGTGTGTATGCTTGCATGTATGTGGGGGTGTGTTTGTGTGTGTATGTGTGTACATATGTATGTGTGTATATATATATATATATATATATATATATACACTTCGTCAGTGTGACTTATTTTCTGTTCCTTTTTGCCGTGTTAATGTATGTAAAAATGGATTTATTTCGCGTCTGTCTAGCTTATATAATGATTTTGTTGCCAAATGTCCTGATGTTGATATATTTTCTAATTCTTTATATGTATTTAAATGTCATTTAAATAATTATCTTACATAATTTTTATGTGTTTAATCGATGTAATATTTAACTCTACAATGTTTTAATAATTTGATGAATTTTAAATATTTTATATTTTTATATTGTACATAGAAATATTTTACTACAATCTTCGCCTGTAAGTGGGACCTTCTTGGTCCTGTTGGACGATTGAATAAATAAATAAATAAATAAAAATAAATAAGTGAATATGCGAATTGTCATGGCATTCTGTAACATTTCCAATGGATTTGAGGCCCTAAAATCATTTTGTGGCACTATGAATATACCACATCCCATGTCATCGAAGTCGTGGTGCTACCTTGTCACAAAACTGTAGAGCGCATGTCATTCAGCAAACAGGCTACTGAAAGCATGAAGCAAGCTGGCAGTGAATTACGGAAACCTGAGCGACAGTGCACAATAGGCCTACCATTTTCATGTTTTCATGCAAATTACACAACATAAGGAAAACAAGAACTTGCCATGGACCGTTTCTAGTTCAGTTCGTAGATGAAAGTTTATTGAGTGAATTGGTGGTGCAGATATTGCCAGTTTAATTAATTCATTTAGGCTACAAAACGTAGACGTTCTAATTTTTCTAAGTAATCCTCTAGAATTTGTATCTTGGTTAAGCTCATTTAACTCGCTTATAGAAGCCTGTGCCAATAGCCCAGAGGAAACACTGGATTTGTTGATGCAACAGTTAAGAGATTATTAGTTTTTTTTTTGCGATTCCTGTACACCAAGTCCCATAATCTGGACTGGCAAGGTTTTACTTTGTGTCCTTGAGGTAGGTGAAAGCTTATTTCATTTAATGTAAAATGCAAATTTTCAACATTTGGTTTTTTATTTTTCTTTTTTGCAGGCTCACATCATCTGTTGCAGGGAAGGAAGATGTTGATGCAAGGAGAGTGAGACTTGAAAACCTTGTGGATAACATAAAAGCTTGAGGTGTTGATCATTTTCAAACTGTAAATGAAAACCTCCATCCTTACAACGATGGAGGTTTTCATTTACAGTTTGAAAATGATCGACTGAAACAGATTTCACTGAACAAGCCTTCTGCTCAGTTGATATTATATCCAGAAACAGTGGAGTTTTTCGACTATGATGAAGTTCCTTTCTGTGATATATTCGACAATGTTTTACAGGATTCTCCCTACCAACGTGATATCCCAGTTGATTTTCAACATATTCTTGGCTTACCAATCACGGCAAAACATCTGCACATATGTACAAATTTCTCCGAGATGAACCAAAGTGTTATTGCCGGGCAAGCAAGAAGGAAGCACATTAGTAGAAGATTATGAATGGGGACACAGTCAAGAAGGAATAGAGAAGTACTGTATCTAGACATGCAGATAAATTCCATCGTCTTATACTTTTTAAATATGGTAACATATTTACTGGGTATGAAGTTCATTGATGAAGTTCATTAATGTCATACCTTAACTTCTTCAGTGTAGTCCATTTCATTCAACAATGAGGCTATCAACCTAACAGTGCTTAGAACAAGCACGGGTAGTTTATCGTTGTGCGCTATTATACCCATTTGGTTCTAGTTGCACACAGTGATAATGAATAGGATAAAATTAAATTCAGTTGATGGGCAGTGCATCGAATGCATATGTTCACCTCATCCTCAAAATCAAACTTTCAAATTGTAGAGTCCTTCAATATTAATGTATTATGCAAAACATGCCTTTAGCTACACGATTTACACTATTATATGACAATTTCAGCTTGTATTATTAATATAAAAAAATCCGGTTTTAACGCAGCTCTCTTTAGTCGCTCCCATCCGATCGCTTCTCGGCAGTTTATCGTTGTGCACTACTACACCCATTTTGGTTCTAGTTGCGCATAGTGATAAATAATAGGATACAATTGAAATTATTGACGGGTAGTTTATCACTGTGCGCTACTATACCCATTTTGGTTCTAGTTGCGCACAGTGATAATGAATAGGATAAAACTCAATTCAGTTGATGAATTAATATAATTAATATAATTTATTCAGAACTTCACTTTTGAAACACTGGCACTCGTTCAAAAGGAAGGTGCGTCCGAGAAAATAAATACAACCATGAGATAACAAATTTAAGCTAAATAAATCTCACTGTATAAAGCAAAACATTAACTGAAAAATTCAGATAGGAAATAATAAACACTCACTCAAAAACTTTCTTTTCCTGGTTAAGTAAGGGTGTGGGGAAATGCAAAATCACATAGATGACACATGTCACATATATACACATATATCTATACATATATTTTGTAATTTTTGTATATCCATTTTTTACAGTTTTCATTTTAATAACTTGTACACTAGGTTTTGTTTCTGTAATTGTTTATGTGACTACCATCGTGTTGAAGCTCAGCTAGATGGAACACATTACAGTGTTTGGTGTATGTATTATGCATTATCTGAGTTTTTCATGGAATCTTTCGGTATTTCTTTTAACGTATCTTTTTTGTTAAGTTTCTATCTTTTATCTATGAACGCACAAATTTATTTTGAGTGTAACCGGTCTAAAGGTGTAGGTTCAAATAAATAAATAAGTATACTCAGTATAAATACTCACAGCATGTTCAGTTAATTTCAAGCTTTGACAAAGGCTACAAGGGTAGCTGAAATAAATATATATAGATACTGTGGTAACGGGAACGAATGTAAAGATTGAGGGCGTAAGCGAGGTTCAAGGAAAAAAGAAGAGAAATAAAGAGAGCTTAGAATTGTCATTAAAATCTGTCCAAAGTCTCTTTCATTTTGTGGACATTACAGTTGGCGACGAGGATGGGATAATATTGTGAGTAAACCGCATCCGTTTCTTGAGTCTCCAGGCACGCCCACCGTCCCGTGGAAAACATGGAAAATAATATTTGAAAATTACTTGTTGGCCGCCGATTTGCAGGCAGGGTCAGCTGAACGTCGCAAGGCAATTTTGATAGCGTCGTTGGGTACTGAAGCCCAACGGATTTATTACACTGTTTTGAACAGTAAGGCCACGTCCGTTGCTGGTGCACAACAGGCAGAAGCAGATGGTGATAAAGACGAATATAAAGAAACTATGCAATTACTTGCTGATTATTTTGAACCCAAACTAAACGTTGTAGCGGAGAGGTACAAGTTTAGATGTCGATCCCATGAACCAGGTGAGACAGTTCAGGCGCTGTCTCTTATACACATCTAGATGTGTATAAGAGACAGGAGTAATGGTGCCGTAGAAAGGTTTAACAAAGTTCTAAAACAGACGATACAAACTGCATTCTTAGAAGGGAAAGAAGTTAAACAATATGTGCAGTCATTTTTATTTGCATATCGAAATACTCCACACTCAACAACAGAGGTGGAACCTGCATTGTTGTTGCATGGACGTAAATTGAGAAACAAGTTAGATATTAAAGGGTTGACACCATCAGCAGATGTGGTGGTTGATAAATCTAAGCTTAAAGAACTAGTAAAAGTTAATCAGAAGAAACAAAAGACATATTTTGACAATCGTAACAGTGTTAAAAAACCTATTATACAGGAAGGAATGAATGTAAAGGTTAAAAAAACTGGATATGTGCATAAGGGCAGTAGTCCATTTATGGGACCATTTCGTGTAGTTAAGAAATGCAGCCTTTCTGTTAAGTAACAGAAAGACATATAATGTTGAAAGGTTAGCTATTGTAAGCCCTGACTGTAGGGAATGGGTAAACCCGTTAGGCAATGCAGTGCCTTTGATGATTGATGATTTCGGGAATGCACAACCAGAAAATGTAAATACAGACAGATTCGTACCAAGGGGTGTAGACCAGGTTCCATATAGAACTAGGTCAGGTAGGGTAGTGAGAAACCCTAGTAGGTATATTGAAGAATGTAATTTGTTACAGGGGGGAGATTGTGGGTGGTAACGGGAACGAATGTAAAGATTGAGGGCGTAAGCGAGGTTCAAGGAAAAAAGAAGAGAAATAAAGAGAGCTTAGAATTGTCATTAAAATCTGTCCAAAGTCTCTTTCATTTTGTGGACATTACAGATATATATATATTATCTAAATGTAAATCATATTCCAACTCTACCAAACGATGTAACCTTTGTATAAAAGATAAGTATATTTTATTATATGTCAACCCGAAATTTGAACTCTAAATCAAAGGAACAAATTATTCAGTTCATGTAGACATTGACGCAAGTTCTTGTTACGGTATACTACTTAATCCTGTTGGCTTTCATTTATCCATCTAAACAATAGAGACTTAATCACTTGGTAATTAACATACTTTTGTTCTGATAAACTGTCACAATCTATGTACTTCATTATTCCTTCACTCAGAGCCTAGCGCAACCAAAATGGGTGGGATAATGAGGGAAGAATAATGTAGCGAAATTTTGAGCCAATCATAAGTCATTACAAGACGTTCCTGTTTTTGTTGGACTACTGCTTTGAGCATTGGTCTTCGAGCATCGTTTTATCCATCATGGTTAAACAGTGGTCTGTTAAACGGTCGCACAGAAGACTCACGAACAAGGTAGGGATGTGTATTGTTGTGTATGAGTTATTTAATAAAGTGCAACTTTCGGCACGTTCGCAAATGTACTGTATTTTGTTAGAAACATTAATGAAGAAAGTTAGAACAATAATAATAACAACAATTAATAATATTGCTCTCAATATCATTACTACTGTATTATTATTTATGTAATTAACAGTACTGTCATTAATTCTGTTATTGCTAAACTAATATTTTTAATGTTAATGATATAAGTATTGTCATTGTCAATCATACTAAGTAGTGAAAATTAATGTAATGATTCGCGTAAATTATGAGTAGATATGATGGTAGTGTTATTGCATTTTTATACCAGGTATGCGAATACAGCAAAGAATATTAGCTAAGACTACTACATATCACAACAATATAAATTCTAACAAAATCTTTTCAACCGTTCAAAATCAGGCAGTCAATCTGACAGTAATTGTATAGTACCAGGGTATGCACTTCCTACCCAAAAAAAAAAAATATAAACGACAGACCCATTTATTATGTGTATTGTTGGTTGTTCTATGTTTGTTTTAACAATAAATGTTCGTGTTCACCCCTTCTTTCTAGGTTGTAAACACTGTTAGGATAGCCGTCCGTGTTTAAACCATAATTAAAGTAAAGAGAATATATGTTGTGTGTTGTAATTAGTTATTATATTAGTTTAAAATTGACATATAGTTTACAATCTGTTCTATTGCGCTTATGCTGACTTTAATAAATTTGACTTAAAAACTTTAACATGTTGCTTATAATTCAAAAGTTAATGTATTTATACAAAACACGGGGATACCGGCAGTTTTAGTGACACTTCATGAGAACAAACTGCATTGGGCTGGTAAGTGTTCATTAATAGTGTGTGTATTTGGAATTCGAACATTTAATAAGTTCAAATAAATGTTAAACTCTGCCCAAAAAACACGTCCCTTCGCTAGTTCACCGGATTTATATTGGTTAATTTTACTTTTTTAATAGAGTGCGAATTCTTCCCGAAGCATCCCTATGTTAATAAGTGAATTTATCGACGATTAAAAACAAAATCAAAAAAGAATAAAGGTTTCCGATTGTTAGAAGTACAACACTGCAAGGAAGACATTAACAACAGATTTGTGTTTTTAATAGGCGATGAAACCGCTATACGAAAAATTCAAGCTGACTGTGGCACTACAATACATGCGGCATTAGAGCAGGCAGCACAGAAAACGAATGAGAAACTAACAGGTATTTTTTTTTACTAGTTACTTTTAAGAAATGATATAAATTCTTGGTGCGGGACGGGGGTTTGGGGCAAGAATATATGAGAGTTTCTCAGCGTTATGAGGTTGTGTTGTAATTGTTTATTATTGAATGTGTTAGGTTGCTGAACTCTTTAACATTTCAGGTGGTTGAACATAACATTTTAAATGTTATGTTTTATAATAACGAGGACGAATCGACGGCGAAAACACCGACGATGATAACAATAAACTATAACAATAAGTAACAATGACAATACAATTTACCAATAAAAATAAAAAATATTATTATTAATGTTATTACTATTATTATTACGATTATTGTTGTTAGTGTTATTGCAAATTGACCGACAAAGCATAAATCACACGCCTTATCTTACTTTTTTTTAACATAACGCATAATTTCCTCACATAGCCAACACCCTAAAAGAAGGAAAAGCAATTGAAAGTGCCAATGTCACCAAATTGAGAAACCTAGTGATCAAACTAGTGCGAAAAGAAGGTAAACTGCTCTGATCTGTTATGTAATGCTCATTACGTATGACAATTTTATAAAATTCCATTAATTTAGTTAGTGGCGCTAAAAAATGACATAACAAATACTTCATTAAAGGATTATCCAAGGTATTGCAATAATTAAATAAACGACAACTCAGGAAACTCCGACAGTATTCGAGGTAAACTGTAGCCATGTTTACATGAGTTTTGTACAGGTATTTTTACAATACTTACTACAGTATATAAGGGCACTTGATGTAACAGTTCTGGAGTATGGTATAATAAAACTTACGCCTACAGCCATACATTTCCTGTTGTTCGGTAATTGCGAAATTGATTTCAAATTTCGAACTTTCGGGACAGCAGTGAGTGTCTTGTGGACGAAACATGCATGATATAACTGAGGTGGATATTACAGCCAAAGCGTTTCCATGTTGTAGAAAAACCTGAAAACTGTTTTTTTTTTCTTATTAAATATTTATTGTAAAACTTTGTAATGCCTCTAATCGGTTATTCCTACCTCTCTTTAGGTCCTCAAAGAGGTGGGCCCTTCTGGACTTCAGGCCATAACAAACCTGGATGGTGGCCCGCTGATTTGCAGTTCTGTTCGCCTCGATGCTGTTCGAAAGGTATTGGTTAGCAGAATATCACTACTTTTTTTTATGTCGTTCAAAAAACTTTGTCGTTATACTTTTATATGTTTTGACTTTCAGCAACTCTGCTGGCAATACTACATGCCTTTAACGCACAACGAGAAAGAGAAGAAAGTAACACCGAAAAATCTACAGAAGTAGAAACTGAAACTTCTCATTCAAGTAAGTTATGTATATAGTGTGCTAAAAAGGACTAACAATCATGAATTAACGAACACATACTAACTGATGACAGTTGAAGAACTAAAATTTTGTAAAGTTTACTAGCGGGTTACTCAGATAAATGACATCCCAAATCACAAAGAACATTGGTTAATTCTGCCCTAACAATTACGGTACCATGTTTATGTTTGATAAAAACAGGTAGGTCCAACTTGCAAGGAAGCGATGCCCAGAAAAACAATCTCCGAAAAAATCCAGCAAAGGCAAGTTGAGAATTTCTTATAAGTTTGCTTAATATCCCGAGGAAACATAGTTAAGTGATAGTGGAATGACCAAAAAAGGTTTTCAATTACAAATCGCATTTTCAACATACAATTAATTGTATTTGTTAATTGTAATAATGTAATATATTTCATCACAGAAAAGGTATTCAGCCAACTGGATATCAAACCAAAGTGGTGGTTCGCAAGCAACTAAAAGGTATTACTTTTGCTTTGAAATATGTGTAGGTATACAGTACAACACACATTCGTACAAAGAGATAAACAAAATCAAAATATTAAAAATATGGTACTATGGAATTTTCAACAGATGCACATGAGTAATATAACATTTTTAAGTAAAACGAAGTAATGTATTATTATCCTGACAGGAGCAAGTATGCGAAAATAAGCGAGGATGATGTCAGAACAGAGGTGAGAAATGTGCTCATTTCAATCTACACACATTGAAACATATGCCATACGGCAATGTTAATGGTCAATTTTTTAAACGGGTAACATTGGGCCTACCAAATATTACAGAACATGGTAAACATCCTACACTCTGTTTTTCCCTTTAACAGTTGGAGGAAATAAAACAAAGACTCCTCGACATCATGCAAAAGAAATTTGCAGAAGGAAGGTGAGTTCTGTAAATTTACAATTACAAGGTCATTCCATTTCTACAATGTAGTATTGGTCCATTACTAGATTATTTAAGAAAAATGAATTAAACTTCAGAAATATAAATTTCAGTGAAAGACACAAGGAATACATGAATGCCCCCGAAGGTGTGCAAACCAGAGAACGGAACATGGGGGGTTTCGGTGATGACGTCATGGATGAGGAGGTAATGTAAAATATTTAGCCCTAAATCTAAACCATTAGCAATGGACAGCAACAAAACATTATGCATGTGATGCTTAAGTTACTATAAAAACGATTTAGGCCTAGTTCTTGTTTTCCCACACCACCTCACTGACAATACTAAAAGTAGTTTTAATAAAAGTAATAATATAATTAGTATTAGTAGGTAAAAAATATTAGTACTGTAGTAAATAAATAGTGATAATAATAATAGTAAAAACAACAATAACATTGGTAAGTACAATAAAAAATATTGATATTATTGTTATTGGTGATAATAACAATGACTAACAATAAAACTAATGTCAGTAATAACAATAAAAAAAATATAAAAAAATCACAATACTGCAATAGTGATAATAACATTAAAATAAAAATAGTAGTGATGTTATTAATAATAATAAGAATAATAATAATAATTGGAATATTAAGATTAATAATACTGTAGTACTAATAATAACAATAGTAACAACAACAATAACATTTTTTTACTACAATAAAAATATTGGTGATAATAACGACTAACAATAAAATTAATAACAAAAATCACAATACTGCAATAGTAACAATAAAAATAAAAGTAGTAGTAATGTTATCAACAATATTAATAATAATAATAATAATAATAATAATCAGAATAATAATATTAATAATAGTACTAATAATTGTTAGTAATAACAATAACTATAATAGTACAAATGATTAAAATAATGATAAGTATGATGAAATTTTCAATAATAAAAACATAACAATAATAATAAAAATAATAAAATAATAAACCTTAATAAAAATGTCAATGTTAATATCAACAACAATTAATATAATAGCTACTAATTTTAATATCAGTTGTCTGAAACAGTGCCTATTTCAATTAACACCAATGTCATTGGTGTGTAAAGTGTTTTAAAATTATAAGCCTTACATTTTGCTTCGCAGGTAATGGATTACTTAATTGTTCAGAGAAACCAATAAGATGACCTACCCAACAAACGTAGACCCTAGGTCAGTTATTAATGAAGGACGTTGGTTATGTTTACATTTTTGTATGTTTTTGTGCATATGCTTGTTCAAAAAGAATACTGTTATTGTTTGTTATTGTTATATTTTAATATTATTTTTGATCCAACAGATGCCCCTACACATCCATGATGATTTCTCGAATTCATGGTCTACCTGAAGAAGCCGAGGAAATGCAGCGGTATTGTAAAGAAGATACACTGTAAGTACTCATGTCGAATCAGTAATCCAACAGAAAAAAGTTTCCTTCTTGATTTGAATTTAAGTCTTTGCTAACAAACACCCGTCCTACAGCGGCGTTTATTTTTAAATTCTACATATATTCTTAAAAAGAATAAGCAGATTATTAAGATTTGTCCATGCTCGATACATTATTAACATGAGAATATTTCATAATCTATGCTTAACCTTTTTTCTCAATAGGAATACATTTAATTACATGCGGTTTGTGGCCAATAAAGAGGCGATCATGTACCTGACACAGAAGAAGTACAAATTGCCGTATGATGAAGCCGACAAACGTTGTCGGGAAACAGAATTTAATTTTAGAGCGGCATTTAAATCTTCGTTGAAGCAACAAAAGAGATGAAATTCTTCGGTTTTATCTCTATGATGGTTTATATTAATATTATTATTATTATCATTCTAATTAATACTAATATTATTATCATTATCAATAATAGTGCTTTTATTATTTTTCTTGTTATCATTATTGTTATTATTATGATTACAATTATTATTTACGTGTGCCGCTGATGTAAAAGTGTCGATTTAAATAAAGAATATATTTGTA